CCGAATTCGCCTTTCAAAATTGTATCTTTCTTCACTCTAACACTGGTTTATTCAAGAGGAATGGAAGAGGCTGGTGGTTGCTGAGGACTCTAGTCTGTTATTTCTACTTTTCTTAAGTACTGTGACTTTCATTAGCAGAATCAACCCATGTCATTATCATAATATTATCGTACACAAACGTTATAAGGAGCAATGCAATGTTTGTTGTCACGAAACGCAAAAGCGCAGACCGTGTTTAATCGTTTGTTTTTAACTGTAACTAAATGGGAGCTGGGCATGAGCTGTATCTTGTTGGCGAAGAAAAAGCAGGGTTGACGAAGGAAGAGGTGGCATATATTCTACAAAACAAAAACATTTGGCCACGTGTCCCATAGAGGAAGTCATGTTGACGTTTTATTTACATGGAGCTAGCACTTTGAAGCCATGCATACCTTCGTGTCATACACCAGTTATACAGAATTAGTCATGACATTTTCAGTATAAGTATGACTGGTGGCTTGTCTCCTCGGGTGTCTGGTAAGCACCGGATGCAATAGGCTGGAGAAGGGTGCAATAACCAAAGATATTGCTGAATTTCTCTAACTAGGAGGATCCACGCCATTCAAAATTCAAGGCCTACATTTGTCAAGAGCCAACAATATAATTATGACATGTATTTGCCTTTTTTGCCTCTAATTTTTTTTAAATACTGTTTTGACGTTTCTTGTAGTTTAAAAAGCAGTCTAACAGAGCCTGACACAAAACATCTAGTTAATATATTGGCAGGATGGGATTACAATGCCCCCAACAAGTGATGACGCCACAAGCCCCCTTCACCACATTATGTGATGAGGTCGTGACACTGTCGGAATCTGACCTCGCCGAGCTCTTCGATCCGACACCGGCCGTAATTGTTCTCCAGGTAAACCCTCGACCGTTGCGAGAACCGTCTGCCCTGCATCGATCGATCGTGGCGCGGCAGATGATCGGGTATTGGACGCGATCAAACGGTTCGATATGTCAACACCGCCCCGGCATACCAGAGGAGCAGACGTGCTCCACAGCGGATTTCTGTGCTCACTGCGGGCCCCGGGGTTGGGCAAACGTGCCGTTAGTGTTTGGGGCGGGTTGGACAAGTACCAAATTACTTGTTATGGTAATTTCTCTCCTATCAAACTTCTTTTTGATTACTTTCATAACAACAGAAATATCAGGAATGAAGGCGACACTAAACAGGGAAGAGGAAAAGGAAAATCTAAGTCATCGCCCTGACAAATTCTCCCGTATTTTTTCCTGGTACTGCAAGGCGTAATAAATAGAAAATGGATGTGATAATTAATCATTGTCGTCTAGCAGTCTCTTATGGAAAACGGAAATCCCTGCCTCAAGCCAGCAGACTCACTTTTCATTAAAATGGTTTTAAATTGAAAAATAAACAAAAGCAAAAAACCCCCAAAACAACCCCAAATCCCATCAAAAATAAAACATTAACATTGTGGGGGGG